ATGTGTGTGTGTGTGTGTGTGTATATATATATATATATATATATATATATATATATATATATATATATATACACACACACACAAACACGATTTATTATATTACATATCAGTTAGTTGATGTCACAGTTAGTTATGTATCACAGTTAAAGTCAGAATTATTAGCCCATCCTTAATTTTTAGACCCCCTGTTTATTTTTCCCCAATTTCTGTTTAACGGAGAGAAGATTTTTTTCTAACACATTTCTAAATATAATAGTTTTCATAACTCATTTCTAATAACAGATTTATTTTATCTTTGTCATGTTTGCCCCGCACTTGTTTTATTTTAGGTAAAGCTATCTAAAATGGTTTGTTTTTTAGGCCCAGTCTACACTGCCAGTTAAACGTGACCCAATTACGATTTTTTGCACATATGTGACACAGATCGGATCTGTTCAATGACCGTGTAAACACGAAAAAAAAACGCATGCATTCGGATTAGGGTTGTAACGGTATGAATTTTTCACGGTATGATAATCGTCTAAAACAATACCACGGTTTGACGGTTTCGCGGTATACGGTATGTTACAAATGTTACAAAATAATAGAACAGTGAAGCAAATTTGACTTTTTCCAAATAATATATTTTCAGTTACTATAAACAACACCACTTACAATGAACAAATAAAAATAAGAAAATAATAAATAATGTGTCAAAGTCCAAATAAACATGGTGCAAATCCTCAGTAAAAAATAGATATAAATATTTACTATACTATAAATAGTTACATAACGAAACTAGATTCAATATGGAACATCCTTAGGTTTTATGTGCCAGCATGGATATGGTTGTCTATCGATATGGATTTGGATATGGTTGTCTGCAATGCAGACAAACAGCTGCATCTTCATTTGCGTCTTTTGAAAACAGCAAGAGCAGCAGTTCGTCTTTGCTGTGTCACTGTTTTGTCATGTTTCTGTGCTGCTGTGCATGCAAAAGTACTTAGTATGAGAATTATTTCATGCAAAACTTTTTTTTGCGTTTTATTTAGCCGCGCACAAATGTATGCCTATCTCTCATTCCGTGTTGTTCAAAAAGCTTGGTCCACAAACAAAAGCGAAACCTATGCTTATTGGTTGTGATATAGCGAGTTTAAACCAATCTGGGCATGGAGGAGGGACAATGCATCAATGTATCATGTCTGATTTGTCCGGAGACACAGTGACGAGCGTTTCTTTGTCAAATCAGCGTTGTCAAATGTTGATGACGTAACCGCACTGATTCCGGAGCCTCTGAAAGTCCGCGAATGTTATGTGTACAGCACTGGAAAGCTGAGATTCTCTTCTTTATGCCAATCTTTGAATTGTATGAATCGGATCAGCGGATCAAAAGTTATTAAACATTTAAGAGCAATACTTATTTTTAGCCGCGGGCGGCTGTCTCGGTCTTTAAGGAGACAGAAAACCGTTAAAGGTTAAAACCGTTGATATGCAATTGTTCATGGTATGATAATCGTGCACGTTCAAATCGTGGTAAACCGTCATACCGGTATATTGTTACAACCCTAATTCGGATATTCAGAGATCAGTTTTAGGCCTCCTTCATATTTGGAAATAAATCAGATATAAATCAGATAATGTAAGATAAGTTAAATGATGTGACAATGCGACTATCATGTAAACAGGCAGATCGAATTTTTTGAGGCATGCTGTTTTGTACGTCATTAAACTTGCAACAATTTGGTACTTCTCCATAGTTTAATGATGTAAAAGGAAGAGGGTGTGTGGAGACGCAGACGCAGTAAACAACAACAACAAGAACAGAGGAAACACAGAGGAGGAAAGTGGTCAGAGGTGGACGGCAGAAGTTACCTGCCTTCTTGCCCTCTGGGGAGAGGAGTCAGTGGAGGACACCATATATTAACTATAGGCGCAAGCTGCAATGACGGCCCTTTTCCTCCTCCTCCGCCTCAAAATCATTTTAAAGTTGGGCGAACTTCACATATTTGGCAGAGCTAAAAGCAAGACAATTTCTTCCATTGTGGCTAGTGTGGCGCAGAAGCTAGAACTCGCCTTTACGCATGCGTGACGTTGTAAATTATATGGCAAGTGGTAACATGCGAATCGGAAATGGATCATAATTAAAATAACATGTAAACGGACAGGCAACAAATCAAAATTGGGCATCAAGACCTGACAGAGTAAACGGGGCCTTAGTTAACGATAAGCTAGTTCTTTCACAGTTAGTTCCAACCTCATGGTAAGAGCTAGGGTTGGGTCGATAGACGTTGCCATGATCAATCGCTGACCAAGAGACGTCACGATGCTGAGCTGGCAACGCGATCCTCTGCCCCGCCCCAAATTAATCTTGTCTCTATCTAATGACTCTTCAGTCTTTTGAATCTATCAGGCAACGTGTCACAGCATCAGTACACTGCTTCAATCTTTCGCTTTCACGCTTAGCAATTTTAGTGAAAAACCCAGATACTGTTGGTTGTGCACATTTTGTACCAACCAAGTTTGTGATGCCATTATATCGACACAGATCACTCTGCCTATTCATGCCAGAGTCCCATGGAAAAAGTGATTGACAGGTGGTAATTTGTGTGCAACTTATCTTTATTTATTTATGATTTGGTTATGGGTAAATAAAAGACCATGCGGGTCAGGTGGTTGAAACGGTAGGCTACAAATAATTAATTAATTAATTAATTATGAATTCATTAATTACTAATGCATAATTAATTCACCGCCGCCTACGATGACGATGCCATAGTCCATCGCAATGTTTCACATTAGACATCTTGGTCGACATCGCCCAACCCCAGTTAGAGCTAAACTCAAATCTAAATATCATAATGTACTCACGGGTCATGTGAAAGATGGCATCACAGGCAAAGATGTTGGAGAGGAAGGCGTTACCCAAACCCTGGCCTGCGTGAGCTCCTTTTACCAAGCCAGCAATATCCACCACATTCAGGAACGCTGGGACCTTACTGAAGAAAAAATAAAGAGAGATTAAAAACACGGTGTCACTGATGACGAAGCCGATGCTGGTAATTGTATCATGTACCTACGCACCTAGCTGGTTTATGGTACTGGCAGAGAAAGTCAAAACGTTCATCTGGAATGGGCACACGGCTCTCGTTTGGGTCGATGGTGCAAAAAGGAAAATTCTCAGCCGCTGCCTGACTCTTTGTCAGAACATTGAAGAATGTTGACTTTCTGGAGAAAAAAAAATAGATTTAGATAAAAAACATGAAATTTTGATTTGCATAATGAACAAATATTTGAAATATGGTTCATACAGAAGAGTTTTTAAAAATCTAAAATAAAAAATGAGTAATACAGCAACAGATATTTTCTTTACAATAGTGTGTATTGTTACTATAATGACTAAGACATCACAAACCGTGTCATTCAGAGGAACAGTATCTAATATTATTAATACTCATTTGATCACAAATTTAAAGACCCAAAACACTATTTAACTGTCACCTTAAAGATTTATTCTTTGCAGCCATCTCATTGGCACATATACATGTTTGTAAGAAAGAGAAAAATTATAAAATATAGTAAAAATTAAGTATCATTAGATTTTCTATTATATGTTTACATAAATCTGCTACACTTCTTGTATTGTCAACAAAAGTGAGCATATTTGTATTGCAATGTTTAGTTAAAACAACATTACTGACTAACATTACTGCCAAAATTATTTGTCATAACACCACACGGTCAGTAAATTAGCATTTAATCAACATTAAATTGGCTTACATTTAATGTTTCCCATGTACATAAACCCACTTTAGTGAATCTAAAGCGAAAACAAAAACGGGAAGCCTCATTTATGACCCAGAGAGACATTGAAGTACATTTCCCTCTTTTAAAATATAAAACACACTTACAGATTGATATTTTTCTGATCCCTTAACTTGTTTAGTTGCCCTTAAAACTTAAACACATTTCAATATGCTGTTAACATAACCATTTTCTGTGAATATATCCGCTTGTTAAAAGTGACGTCACGCAAAGCGGCCTCCGGGTCCACGTGCTCTATTCAACTGTATGGGGAGACTCATGAAAGAGTAATTATAAACGTTTACTAAGCGATTAAAAACTTTCGAAAATCACAATCGCAATATATATGTCCATGCCTAATATCCGATGGCCAGAAAGTGATTCATTTTTTAATAAATTGTTAAAAGTTTGGTATTTGTTATGCAGCAAGCCTGGAGATTGTTGTAAACACAATGACTTTATATAAAATTAACTTTAATGTGTGATTTGACTTAAAAGTGATCATAAACAAAAAATTTCTCAACTCAAATGAGTGGTGGCTTGGACCCGGGAACAGTATTACAAACGTCACCAACACGTCACCACTTAACAAGCGGATATTTCAAGTTTTTACTGTGACTGTTCGGACTTGATCCACTGCAACCTTGTTTCCATTCAAAAACCACCAACCATCCTCATGGCAGGATGATGTCATTCTCATAATGGCTCAGGATCATGAGTCATCATCCCTCTATACATTTCACACAATACAGCAATACAGGCACAAATACAACCCAACCACATCCAGCATTCGCAGTTGATCAGTCTGACAGCACTGCTTCTTTGATGTTAAACCAAAGATGCAGCGCACATGGCTGGAAGAGACACGTACCCTACATTTGGCAGCCCAACAATTCCAATTTTCAAGGAAGTCCCAAAACGTCCGATAAGGGGCGGTTGTTTTGGTCCATCTCCTCCCTTCTTTGGAGGCATCTGTGAAAAAAAAATGACATTACATTACATGACACAATTAACCAAAACAACACAACTGGTCATGCAGCCACCACACCTTTTTAGGAGCCATGGTTAAATGTTGTCAGTACTCAAATGGATATTAGCATAATTAAAGCACTGTAGAAGTCAAGTAACATGTAGCTTCGTTAGTCTGACTAGCTGCAGTAACTAGTTGCCATTTCACGACAGTCACACATGTGGGGCCAGGCTCCCAAAATAGCCCCCGCACTAAGAGTGTAAGCTGACCGGCCATATTAACTGTATGAAATGCTAAATATATATTCCTCACCCTGGACAAGTAAGAGAAGGCATAAGTATATCAAATCACTGTTTAGAAATCCCTGTACCACAGCCAAGTGACAGCCGGGTTATTAGAGCCAAGGGGGCTTCACTGGTAACTAGGAAGCCAAAAGGGAGACACATGGACATCCAGAACATCACCACCACCACCATCCCCGTTCATTTCTGTGTGTAGCTGGTTAGCATACCGGTCATATGAATGAGCCAATATGCAGCAAAGATGAGCATATAGCCAAACATAGCACGTCTACGCGATGCACATATAAACATGATACATTATGTCTAGATCACCTTGATTTCACACTATGTCTGTCAGCAGATGGAGAATTTCGTTGTGCTCAAATGAACACACGCTGCTCCACACTTCGGCCGATGAAACGGAAAGAACGCGCATACCGGAAGAGTCCCGAATTCTCACGCTGTGATTGGTCAAACTGACTGAAGATGTAACGACGTTGGGAGAAAAGCGGAGATGATGACGTAAACACATAAGGAATGGTGTAACTAAATCTTTATTTACGAAAAAAAGAAAAAAAATCTTTATTTACAATTAAGAGGTTAAAGACGTTTTTAAACAACCCAACTTCATGTTGGAATTTTATTCCAAATTAAGTTTTTAGCTCAGTTGGAGGTTTACATTTTTTGTTGCGCTGTTATTTTGACATCTCGAAAATACCATTACGTGTACTTTTTTGCATTTCTATGTACCCTATTCAAGAGGAAAATTGTTTTTATTTAATTAATTTAATTATTTTGCTAACAAAATTTTACATTCAAAAAAGTTTATTTACCAATAAGAAACCCAACATTAAGGTGTTGATGACTGAATTATGCTTATACATTAGTAGTATCAGAGACTCTCTAAATAAGAAAGCCCTACGCACTTTAAAACATTGTGAACTCTACAATGTGTTTATTTGATTATTACATATTTAAATTAGTGTATTTGTATTTGATTTATGCTTACCCCCTGGCATGTATATTTATTGTACTGTTAAAATGTTATAATAAAAAAAATCTATCACGTATCTAGTTTTAATAACTAGGCTTTATTATGTTGGTCCCTTACATATAATTAAACATTTTCTCCACGTACCTATTTTATTTGGAATAATAAAAATATTAGATATAAAGATAAATCTCTTTTATACTTTTAGTTAGTCAGCTCTAAGATGACTGTGGAGTCCTTTTTTCATACGAAAAATATATCATTTTTTTTCCTGTTTCCCCCAAATAATATGCCAGTTTTGCTGCAATCGTTGATTGTGTTATACCTTTAGTCAAATCTGGCCCTAAAGGTTCTTTAGATTATTTTATTTTTGACAACAATACAAATTGTCTTGTTGACCAAACTCTTCTCAGTGTCAAACCAAGATATTCACTTATTTATTAATAGTTCTCGGATGTCTTTACCTGCTTGCATAGGTTTTTGGAATAATATATTTGATGACAGATTGGGAACACTTTTGGCTTCTTCAGAAAAAAATATTTTTATCTAATAAAGTTGTTGAAGTCTCAATCAAAATCATTCATAATTGCTACCCGATAAACACCAAACTAGCTACATTTAATAACAACATTTCCCAAAAATGCTCATTTTGTACTCAATATGATGAAACGCCAAATCATTTATTTTGAGAGTGTACTTACTGCAAAGTGTTTTGGGTTTCCAAACTTCTGTAAAACTATATTAAAATACACTTATGTCACTAAAAAATCTGATTAAGAAAGTTATGTTAAGATATGAGGCAAAACGAAAGATCTTCGTTCCATCAACTGAGATTCAAATGATTTGAATAGATTTTGAATAACTTTTGTGCAATATATATACAGATGAAGTCAGAATTATTCGCCACCTTTGAATTGTTTTTTTCTTTTTTAAATATTTCCCAAATGATGTTTAACAGGGCAAGGAAATTTTCACAGTATGTCTGATAATATTTTTTCTTCTAAAGAAATTCTGATTTGTTTTATTTCGGCTAGAATAAAAGCATTTTTTTTTAAATTGTTTAAACACTATTTAAGGACTAAATTATTAGCTATTTTTTTCGATGGTCTACAGAACAAATCATCGTAATCCAATAACTTGCCTAATTACTCTAACCTGCCTAGTTAACCTAATTAACCTAGTTAAGCCTTTAAATGTCACTTTAAGCTGTATAGAAGTGTCTTGAAAAAATATCTAGTACGATATTATTTACTGTCATCATAGCAAAGATAAAATAAATCAGTTATTAGAAATGAGCCATTAAAACTATTATGTTTAGAAATGTGTTGAAAAATCTTCTCTCCGTTAAACAGAAATCGGGGGGAAAAAATAAACAGGGGCAAATAATTCTGATTTTAACTGTATATCAAGGTTTTTCACTTTTAAACATTTCTAAAATAATTAAACAATCTCGCTATGTAGTTGTCTTTTAATTCAATTTATTGTGATCAGCGTTACAGAAATAAACAAAACAGACATGTTTCATCATTGCTCCTGCTTTCTAATGTCATTTTCACATATCTTGATATAAAGTTACGCTGTACTTTCACAGAAACATAAATATAATTACTTATAGAGATTCACACCAGCAAAACAAATCAACCCGACACAAAAAGATGAGGGAGATTTACCAAATGACGATACATAAACAGTGCTGTAGACTGAAAATAAAGTGACCCTGCTGTAAATTCCAGAGATTGTCCTAAATTTCGTCTCGGTTACCTCACACGTGATCATTTTTCGGTTTGTAAACATGACTTGTATTGCTTTGCTACAAGGCCATACAGTCTTATCATCCCGACAAGGCTCACAAGTAACACAAAGCATACCATTAAAATCCCAGTCAGACGTTTTGCAGCACTTGTGTAGACAGCAGGTGGTGAGGATGTTTCATTCACCATTTTAGTTACATTTAATTAATGTAACTATAATAATTAGTGCATATTTAGATCTCTGCGAACATATTTTCGTCCGGTCCAAAACAGAGCCCTAAAAAGGCAGCTTACAATAAAAAGCAAGCATCCATGCTCCTTTGAAACCCCAGTCATTACATGGTTCAGCATGTGCAATGCGTTCAACATCAGCAGAATATGAATTGCACATAAAATAAAACTATATTTTTAATTCACCTCATCCACTGTCTCAAATTTAAATATGATTTAGTTATATCAATGTATTCTGGGATATTTTCTTCTCAGAAAGTAAATGCATATCGAGAAGATCTTTCAGAAAGAAAGTGCATTTTCAAAGGATGCATGTGATGCTGCCTTAAACCTTTAGGATGCAACACAACAAGATTGCTCACCTTACAAAACAGCACTTCCGTCAGATGCCTTAAAGCAGGGGTCTCAAACTCAATTTACCTGGGGGCCGCAGGAGGCAAAGTCTGGGTGAGGCTGGGCCGCATAAGGGATTTCACAAAAAAAAGTCCTCAAATGTCATTATTAACAGTTTTAATTATTTCTTCTGAACATGAAGTGTCCTGAACATTAATAGAACATTGAGTGAAGATTATGAACAGTTCTTCTGAACATGGCATCTTTTGCCTACTTCTTGCTGCCAGAGACTTGACAGGGCTTCTTCTCACAAATCTGAACCACATTTGGCTTTAGAGCGGAAGCAGTTGAGACCCTCAGTATGGCTTGAAGATGATCATCATTAAGTCTAGACCTGTACTTTGACTTATTGAAGTCCTAGGTAAAAAAGTGGGGGAACTCAATCAAAACTTCCATTCCCTCACCTAAAAAAAGGCGTATATATGTATAAATAAAACACCCCCACCCCACTCCAGTCACATCAGTCTGTACCAGTCTGTATCTACCTATAATATATATAAGATGCAGGGCAGGCACGTGCACACATAGGGCTCAACCTGTGCAAAGCACATGCCCTTTTTAGTCTTGCATAGAAAGTGCCCTTCCAAAATGATCAAAAGTGCCCCCGCGACGCGACACACCCTCGGTCCCGCCCTTCAGTAGGCGCGCGATAACACCGCTCTTGAGTACGCGCGCGACAACACAGCTGATCAGAACTCGCGCGACAACACGGCAGGCGGGGAATGCCAATGACCGCTGTGTACGGATAGAATCAGCGGAGCGGGGAGCGCTCTCTCTGATTCTGTCAGTGTACAGCGGTCGGCGCGGGCCACAAAATATTGCACTGAGGGCCGCAAATGGCCCGCGGGCCGTGAGTTTGAGACCCCTGCCTTAAAGGGTCACGAAACCCCCCTATCTCAGCAGGATGTTTTCACACCTCTAGTTTGAAAAAAGTCAGAAAAGTGGGTCCAGCTTTGTTTAGAGTGGAGTGTCGAGTGGCAAAAGAGGGAAGGTTTTACATGAAAAGGGGAGTTTCAGTACATGCACACGCTGATTTTCACAGAGGCAAAACAAATACAGATGCAGGGGAGATAGTGACTATGTTTACATGGACATCAGTAATCGAATTATTTGCTTTAATCTGAATAAGACAATAATATGATGAAGGTGTTTACATGAGTTGCTTTTTGATTGTTCCTTTAATGATCCTGTTTTACATGTTATGACACATAATTCGATTAACACCCTTGCCTCGCTATCCACATTTCCCCCATGTAATTCATGTACTTTTGGGTGTTTCATTCTTAATTTGTCGACTTCAACTGCAGTTCGGCACTTTCAATTTCCTTGAGGAAAATTTTATGCATGCCCCGTGACAAGCGAGATATTGGATGTCAGTATGAACTGCTGGAAGAGTGTTTAAATGGAATTGTTACCGCACGCCGAATTGGAGAAAAAAAAACTCTGCATTTCTCGATAGATGCAGAGACTCAGGAGGTGCAAACAATAACATCAAACAGTCGTGTGTGTGTATAAACTATACTGTCACAAAATGCGGCGAAAATCATACGCAGCTAAAAT